GGGGTGAGACCACAGGGCAGAAGCAGGGGGCTCATGAGAGCACTCAGCAGTGGAAGCCGCCAGGCAGGGCCTGCACCCCAAGGCAACAGCGGGTTCTACCTCTCCGCTCCCCACCTTGCTCACGTATTCACTAAGACCCAGGCCACCAAGACCCCAGGCGAGAGCTGAGTTTGTTTCTTTGATTCGCCCGTTCACTGTCCTGGTTAGCTTGTCCTGCTCCAACAGACATGCCACAGTGGGTGGCTTAACAAACAGGAATCTCTTCTCTTACAGTTTTGGAGGCTAGAAGTCCGAGTTCCGAGTGCCAGCTCTAGGGGCTGGGTGAAGGCCCCTTGACCCTGGGCTTCAGCTCCGCCTCCTGCTCCCACCCCACTGGAGCTGGAGGCTTCTCCTGACTCAGGCAGCTGCTGGCTGCGGAGGCTGACAGACCCAAGATCAGCTGGTAAAACGGCACAGTCCCGAGATCATCAGACAACACAGCAGGCCACTAGGTCAAGTCCAGGAACTGGAGATGAAGGCTCCGCCAAAGGCAAGATCCAGATGTGCCAAAGAGCCAGAGGCCTTCCTCAAAGCTTCTCCTCACATCCTGGAAGCAGGCCGCAGCCCAACACAGATTCCACTGTGGAGCTGATGACCAGGCTTATCATGGGGAATCCCTACGTCCAGCTGTCCAGCCACTCAGAACCAGACCCAGCCAAGGTGACACATGATCGTAACTACCACATTCAACCATTTACACCCACTTAATTATTTTCTTTCTTCCACCATTTACTATCCCTCCCACTCTCACCCCTGGTCACCATTAAACAACGTTTCTTTTTGCATGAAACCCTTTCCTTGACTTTTTTACAATCGTGGTCTCATTTGATATTTATCCTTTGGGGATTGACAAACTTCACTCAATATGACCAAGTTCATCCACGTTACGAGGTGTTTTAGAGATTCATCACTGTTCTTTAATTGTAGTATTCCATTGTGTGTGAACCACAGTTGTTGATAGATTCCTCGGTTGATGGGCACTTACCCTGTTCCCATCGCTTTGCTATTGTGAGCAGTGCTGTGATGCACACGGCGTGTACGCATCTGTCGTGTCACTGCTCTCATTTCTCCAGGATGCGTACCTAGCAATGAGGTCACTGGCTCATATGGCGTTTCTGTTTCCAGCTTTTTAAGGAAGAGTTGTACCATTTCCCACAGTGGTTGTTCCATTTTACAGCCCCACCAGCAATGAACAGGGGGTGTTCCAATCTCTCTATAACCTTGCCAGCATTTTTTTTTTTTTTTTTTAACTTTGCTTTTAGTACTGGGGTGAGATGGCACCCGTGCAGTGGTTAGGCATTTGGCTGCTAACTGGAAGGTGGGCGGTTCAAACCTACCAGCTG